AATAGCTGTACCCTCATTAACCATCTTTTGAGCGTAATTGAAATGTTCCATCTTTTACAGAGGGATATTTGGCACCCACTGCAGAAGCCTGACAAACCCAACGCCTATAAGGTCTCAGGCCCTATGTCTACTCAAACGGTACTAGAAGCTCTTGTCCCTTATCAACACTTCACAGGGTCAGGAGACAGATAGCTGAGGACTTGAGTATACTGGACCCTTGCAAAATGCGTACAAGGCAGGTCACAATTGTGCTGCATATTTGTAGGGACCCAACGCCGTACTTATATCTGTAGTGACGTGAGAAAAAGATTGGAAATTCTCCAAAAAGGGGCATCCGATCTGAGATCAGCTTTTGACACAAACCTTAAAGCGCCCAGTCATTCTTGACTTGCTAAAGGAAGCTGGTTGCTGCAACAATTGACATCAGGTTAGCAGGTATTTGTGTCAAATACAAGAACTCGAATTAAGATTGACGAAACCATCTCTCTGGAGTTTGAAACCCTCCAAGGATCTTTCCAAGGTGATGCAGGCTTCAGGGGCAGTTTACTCTATACTTTGCTGGCGCTCTGTACACCTAAGAGTATGTTTCATTTCACTACCTGCGAACAAACCCTCCTTTTGACCCAGACTCTCCTCTTGCCAATATAATGGGAGTCTGCAGATGATGCAGATTCGGTGATGACGCCGAAGAAAATTCTGCCGTGAGATGCTGCCTATTTGCAGAGAATTTTGGCTGAATGGGTGTACTTGTAACGAAGCAAGACCTGGAATTTGTCCGTTGCTCTATAGCAGCAAACCAGATGTCGAAGAGACAGGAGAGCCATTAAGAGGTACTGGTAGGGCATGGGGAAGGTTGTGTCACTGGGATCCAGACTTTGCAGCAAATCTGACATTATTCACCGCTGTATCTATTCATAGCTAATGGTGCTTTAGTAAGTACAACAAAGTTTGCTGGAAGAAAGTCCCGAATTTCATGGACACAAAGTGAAGTTATACGTGGCCCTTGTCACCCAGTATACTACTGCTGTACAACTGCAATAGCTGAGGCCGCTCAGATAAAATCCTTCAGAAAGTGGATGTATGTCCAGCGCAAACATTTGAGGCGGATCCTGACTCCACTTATCCCCGATTCATCGTTAACGAGTACTTTATGCTCGTTGTTGGGTGATCCAATTAAAAGAGGAGGGTTGCTAAGTCTCGCTGAAATGCTCGAGGATAGAGTTGGTAGACATCAGATCAGTATTTTCAAAACCATTTTGAGTGATGTAAATAATAAAGAAATATGAATTTATGTAATACTAATTTGACAGATATGGACAGAACTACGACTTACGTAAAGCCGTCCAACCAGAAAAACATGTGGAGCAATTTGTTTAGTTCTTGATACTTTAACTTTTTTGGGTTAGTTTTTTTCTGAGTTCTAACATTGTAGACTTATCAGTCCTAGGATTGTTTATGTTACTTACTTCGGATTTGTGTAAAGTTTGATAATAATAATGTTATTGTTTATACATGGCGTGATAAAACACATGGTATTGGAAGTAGAAGTAGTGGTCAGATTCCCGTGGGAAGCAGTAACCATGGTTCTGTGCATGCTGCTGCTTAATAATCACCTAACAACTTGTTATTTTCTCTCTTACCAAAAATGTTTGCTGAATATTCACAGTAACAAATATTATTCTCTCTATCAATCATGTTTGTTAAATATTCACAGTAACAAATATTATTTTCTTATTCAACCATGTTTTGTTAAAACATTCACAGTAACAAATGTTATTTTCTTATTCACATGTTTGTGAATTCTTTGCTTCTCAAGTTAATTATGGCAACCTCGTACTGTCGGTGTAAAGAAACGGCCCCTGGACAATTCTTCTTCAAAACAGAAAAAATTGTAAATCAGTGGTAACTTATCAATATATCAACTCACAATTACAAACTAAATCACGTCATTAGTTGTCATAACAACGCCTTTCCAAATAAACACCAACAACTTTTTAAATCCCTCTGCTGACAATTAACTGCTTTATTTATAAGTGGAGGGTCGAGAGATTGTCATATTTGATGATCAACCTTAAACTAACTGAACAGTAAAATTTTCTTAATTGAGCTACGACTGGTAGATGAAACCACATCTCTAAACGTTTAATTTAGTCTCTTACATTACGTGACAGTATTAAAAAGAAAAATCACTGATCCAATAACTTACAAAACAAGAGCTATACCAGAACGACGTTATTTGCTCTTCATCAAAACAAATATGATAATGAAAACTGTTTATCTGAAGAGTATTTAGAACATCACCATGGTACCTGTGCTACTGTAACCAGGTAACCAGATCATGGCAGAGAAACCACTGAAGCAGGTGTAACCATGTTGATATTGTATCACCACTGCTGTGTTACATGGTTACTGCATCTATCAAAATAAACATTGAAAACTAAGATTAAGAACCGTCAAATCCATGTTTGAGTGAATGATTGGGTGCTGTACCCCTGGCAACATAATTTTAATAATCTCCACGAGAAAAAGCCCATACCAAAAAACCCACATCCCAACAACGATTCAATTAAAAACTTACTTAATTGGTCTTTAACTATTAACAAAATAGTTAATGGGCTAATGAGTTAATTGGCTTATAAAACTAGCCTGGCTACACTAAGTTTTCTTAACAGCTTATTGGGAGTCCAGCTCTCAAAATCAAATCACCTCCGTCAGGAATTACAAGGCCCCTGGTCTGTAAATCACGTGGACGTAACAAACAGTGTATCACGCAGTTCCCAAGGAGACGACACTAATGACGTCACTACAAGGCGTTCAGGTTGGTTCCTCTACCTCGTTCAAACACGTGATATCCGCAGTTACCAAGGAGACAACCTCTGACGTCACTACAAGGCGTCAGGTCGGTTCCTCCTACCTGTTGCAAAACAAGTGATATGACGCAGTTACCAAGGAGACGAAACTCTGACGTCACTACAAGGCGTCAGGGCGGTTCTCCCTACCCTCGTTGCAAACAGTGATATCACGCAGTTACCAGGAGACGAAACTTGACGTCACTACAAGGCGCGTCAGGTCGGTTCCTCCTACCCTCGTTGCCAAACACGTGATACACGCTGTTATCCAAGGAGACGACACTCTGAGTCACTACAAGGCGTCTCGGTCGGTTCCTCCTTCACCCTCGTTGCAAAACACGCGTGAGATATCACGCAGTTACAAGGAGACGGACACTCTGACGTCATACAAGCGTCAGTGGTTCCTCCTACCTCGTTGCAAACACGTGCATATCACGCAGGTTACCAAGGAGACCGACACTCTGACGTCACTACAAGTCGTCCAGGTCGGTTCCTTCCTACCCTGTTGACTGAAGTGTTGAGGAGGAGGAGGAGTAACCGGTATATATTAGCTGGTCCCGCTGTTAGATAACTGCGCTCTACTGGCCCCGTTAAATACCTGTCTGTTCTAGTCGTCTGAAAATGAAGGAGTGTTCCATGGTAACGGCAGAGGAGAAATCTTAAAGCAAGAACATTATGCACCTTGGCTCTACATTACGGACCAACTGTACAGGACCACTGCACTGGGGGGGGGGGTGGGGTAAAACGATATATTACCTCCAGGAAGAGATATGTTTCTTGTCTTTGTAACTGGCCCAGATTGAACGTTCGCCAACTTCTCCACCACTTACCACCGTTCATAACGTCCATTTGCCTAGGCTTTCAGCGCGATAAACCTGAAACCAAACATTCGGTAACCATGAGTAACAAGATTACTGTACTTGTAACTATGGTAACAGGATATTACTATACTTGAACATGGTATCAAGATACTATACTTGTAACCATGGTTACAGATTAATATACTTTGTAACCATGGTAACAAGATTTTACTGTACTTGTAACCATGGTACAAGATTTACTATACTTGAAACCTTGGTTACAAGATTATTATACTTGTAATCATTGGTAAACAAGTTAGGTACTTGTAACCTGGTTAACATATCAATACACTACTATCTGTAAAAAGGTTATTAGTAACTCTGTGTCCCCCACCCACCCCCCACCCACCCCCCCCCCCCCCCCCCCCACACTAAACAGGTAACTATACTCACCTTTTATAATAACTATAACAACATAAACAACACACAGTAACCCATGGTAACTAACCTGTGTTTATTAGAAGCATAACAACACGCAGTAACCATGGTAACTAAACCTGTGCTTTATTAGAAGCATAACAACGCGCCAGGAACCAGGGGAAAAAAAAATAAAAACTAACCTGTGCTTTATTCGAAGCATTAACAACACGCAGTAACCTTTAAAAACCACTGTTTCCTCGAAACTGTGAGAATTTTCACAATACCAAATTTGTCATACCTTTTTGGAAAGATCAGTGAGTTTCGCCTAGGTGCCATATTTGATGGTGCGCGGCTTTTGGAGCAAAAGTAGCTGTAAAAGTCGCGTAATTTTACCAAATTTGACCATTTTTGTCGTATTATTCGGATTTATCTTCAGTTCCTTAAATGAGATCATTCTGGAAATTGACGACGACCTTCCAATAAGATCCGTCATCTTCTATGAAAATATCAATCTGACTGGCTGTCCCATGTCTGGCTAAACTTCTCAATAGGTTCACTAGGTTTAGGCTAATTACGTTTTGAATTAGGGCACTGTAAATCCATCCACAACGTATTATCCGAGCCGGAGTGTCAGTGCTTTTATTCGAGATCTTTACCGAAGTTTGATTCAGCCAATATAAGATTCCATAGGGTTGCAACTTTTCTCCGTGTAGTTTTAGTTTTACGAAAGTTTCTGTACGCGCTTACAATTTTTGAACACGTCAACTTTCACCTATTATTTATCAAATGTTTCTGTATGATCTGAGATTTGAAGCATCTTCAGATCCGTTATGATTCAGAAGCTTTTTTCCCTTTAAACAGTACGTTCACAAAATTGAGTGATGATAAATATTGAAAACTAAGAAATTTTCTATAAAATTCAACCTTGAAGGAAGAACAATCAGCTTCTTCTAATGGCTTCTCAAGTAAACAAGATACTTGGATTTATGTTCTTATTAGCTTCAGTATCAAGTACTAACAACTCGCCCAGAAATAACATCATAGTAAGTTAGATATTAAACTTATTATGGTTTCTTTACTAGTAGTTCCAAATATAAAAGCGAGTTCTTCGTTTAAAAGCTAATATCTCGTATTCTTTTTAATACCTTGGTCACCAACAAGTTCTTCAAATCTAACCATGAATTTCTTCTAAAACCTTGTTTATCCTAGTCAAATTTCAGGACGAAGACGATGTGGCTGACCTCAAGGATTTACTCCACTCATCAATGCAGAGCATAATCTTACTAAACGACCTCGTTACTAAGCTCACGGAAAATGTTTCTGATCTGACCATCTCATTTGCTGATACCAAAGCCGATATGCGAAACCTGAAGACCACAGTTGAGGAAGAGAGGGCGAACCTGAAGACTTCCGTTGAGGAAAAGATGACCAACCTGATGACCTCAGTCGAGGAAGATATGGCTGACTCGAAGACTTCAGCTGAGGAAAAGATGGCGAACCTGAAGACCACAGTTGATAGTGAAATGGCGAACCTGAAGACCTCAGTTGAGGAAGACATGGCGGACCTAAAAGCTGCCCCTAGGGAGGTGATGATAGTGAGTGGGGAGGAAGAAGCAGGTGAGGCTGGATGTGCTAGAGTATGTTCTGGAACCACTGGTCGAGGCACCACAAATTGGATTGATGCTTCTTCTACCAGTGTCCGGGTGAGTGTGGACATTAGCGACTGCGGGTTTGTCAAGGTACCAACTGTCACCACCTCGGTTGAGGGAAACTTTTATCATTGTAAAGCTACTGGTCTTGCTGCAGTCTACACCACAACCACAACATCTTTTGATATGGTTGTAGGTGGACCATCATCATCGTATTATCCAGTTGGAGGAAGGGCTGCGTCCTGGGGTTGGAATGTAGAATGGATATCTGTTGGATACATCTGCTAATATAATTCAAACTGAAAAGAATAAACTAGACTTCTTCTGGTGGGACTGTTTGATTATTGACTTGGCGAATATTCCGATAAAAAGTGTTTTTTATCGTGTTTCTTTCTTGCATGATATAATCTATGGGGTCATGACCTATCTTCTTGTATATCTAATACTATAACTATTGCTGGATAAAAGTAATAACTGGCCAAGTCGTCACGTTAAATTCCTTGTCATCGCCTTCATCGTTTTAAGAGTATCATGTTTTTATTTTACGGTTGATAATTTGTTGATATTTTAGCTAGGAGAAAGCACAACGCACTTTTAGAGCCGATGTTAAGCTTTTAAAGTGAATTCTACTGGAAGTTTATTCATACTTGTAGGTTTACAACCTACCAGGACGCGCGCCGAGTTGGACCCGTTAAATTCATACGAATAAGTTTAACAGGCGATGGTTCCAGCGCTAATCAATTAAATTCTGTTAGTCATCTAGTTAAAGTGGTTTTATTGTGTTATTCGTTATTGTACAAGTTTGAAGATTTGCAATCCGATTAACGGGTGATACTCGTAAAATATCTGTTCCATATATTGGCGCGCGTCCTGGTAGGTTGTAAACCTACAACAATCCGATAACTCGTTCAGAAAAATTGAAGTGAAGAGCAAATTTAGAGAATGTTAAGTGGTAGTACCAGTGGTCAAAAGAGGTGAAGGATAGGTTGGAAACTATAAGTATATCCTGAATAGAAGAGACGGATAATATCTGAATCTACCTGGCTTATAACTTCTAATGTGTAGATTTGTGGAGTTCTCGACAGCCCCAACTGCACAGTTACTGGCTGAAAACAAAACCATAAAATTACATACATGGAACTGCAACTGGTAATCAATCTTACCTTCGAAATTTGTAAATTTACTTCTGAATTTGGGTCCACTAACTTAGCCTTAGGAAAGCGCAAAATTTCCAAACAAATTTGATGGACAAAAATATGATTTTTTATCTGCAAAGCCAAAAAATCACATTTTCTCCCATAACTTCAAAGGGAAGCATTTTAGGGTGTTTTTTTGTTCATAACTCCTAAATAAATGTGCTAGTTGCGGTTATTTTTCGCTCTTCAAAAAGTCACTAGCACATTCCTATCAAAATTTTAGAAAAATCAGTAAATATTTAAAACGAAAAATGTGCCTTAATTTGTTGTTTGGCTTTGAGGTCCAATAGATCTGAAGATAAATGAGTAAAAACATTTTTGAGGGCATCAAAAACTGCGCCAGAATTCAGAGAACGATTTGATGTCAAGCATCGAATCAATCCGATCTTCCCTGACCAGGCCCTTTTGGAACTCATGCTTAGGTCACGTGACCCGGTTACCACGTGACCGAGGCCCTTTCGGGACTGTGACCCAGGCCTTTCGGGACCCAGACCCAGGCCCTTTCGGGACCCTGACCCAGGCCCTTTCGGGACCGTGACCCAGGCCCTTTTGGAACTCATTCTTAGGCCACGTGACTCAGGCCCTTTCGGGACCGTGACCCAGGCCCTTTCGGGACCGTTACCCAGGCCCTTTCGGGACCGTTATCCAGGCCCTTTCGGGACCGTTACCCAGGCCCTTTCGGGACCGTGATCCAGGCCCTTTCGGGACCGTGACCCAGGCCATTATGGAACCCTCGTCGTTACCGTACTTCGATTATAGTGTATCAGTTATCATTCGTAGGTGATAATAGAAGAAGTAGGCGTAAAGGGTAATGAGCTTTATTCGTTGCAGCGTTGGCTTTATAGTGGGCTTAATGGATCTTGGATCAAATGGTTCACAAATACTGACGATCAATGCCAACAAGCGTGTCACATATTTGCGATCACGCATGGGATCTGATCGACTCTATCAAGAGGCGTCTTCAAATAACTGTATCCTGATTCCTGATCTCTATCAGATCAAGTCACTGTTCCCAGATAACTGAATCTCAATATAGGTTCAATCATGGTCTTAGTAAAGAACTACACCCTCAGTAACACATAAACAGACCTATTTTTGATAAGAGCGGCGGTTATACGTTTAGAATTTCCAAAGTCCTCGAGAAAATGCAAAAAAAAACCTGCACAATTCCCGCACAAATTTCGAAAAAATCGCCGCACATTTGCCGCATAATTGGTAAAAATTTACCGCACCTTACCGCACATTTTACCTTTATAGTCGGGTGCGGTACCGCATAATTTCGATTTTTTTACCGCACCTAATATGTGCCTCTGGCTTGAAATGATTCTTTTGTGATGACGCTGATTTAAAAAGTACTATCAGTATTACTGTATTGTTTTCCCTAAAAATTAACCGATTCGTGTTATTCGACTATTATTTGAGGTGCAATATGCGGTGCTTGGCAACACTTGTAGGGTATAAAACCATCTCCAAATAAAAGGTGACCATCGTCAGGATAGCATTTTCATAGTACATTATTTTTGGGTTTCTTACTTAGTGGATAAACAGTGTAATCCTTATACTCAGTGACGAAACGTACCTGTGGGCCGCCAACCGGCCAACTCGCTAAATTTTCCCGCCCCTCTCCCCTTAAATTGTTCTAATATCCTGATTTTTAAAGAATATGCTTGTAAAATCTTTAAAAAGTTTTTTAGTGGGGGCGGTCGTTTCGCCATTTACACCCTGGCTTTGAGTTCAACATTAAGTTACATGCTGCAGAGTGCCGTCTCAAGTAAGTTCTCTAGTTGCAATGCCACACACCTTGCTCGGGGTACACGCAAAGATTCTCTGCTTCCCCTTTAATCACTTAATCGTTCATAAAACAATGGGTAAACGGGTAAAGAGGGGCTACAAGGCATTGGAGCGAAATAGAACAATAGCGATTAGGCAAATCTTGTGAGCAAGGCTCTCCCATTCCACACTCCTACTATCTTCCCTGTCTCACTTAATGTACCAGTTCGTTTGCTTTTGTTCATCAGAGAGAAATCCAAATGCCACTCGTAGGTCGAAATATCTTCAGTCAAAGAATCAAGCACCGGCCATTGAGGACGGTTTTAGCTGTCATTAAATCTGTGTTCACTATATAAAGCTTGCAATATTAATTATTCTGTTGAAACTTGGCAGCCTAGAGATTCTTCTTTTTCGTGTTCTTGGGTGAATTTGAGATCTTCGGTGAGGAAGTTGAGGAAGGTGAGGAGAGTGAGGAAGGATTCTGCGTGTTGTCTGTCTCTGAAGGATCCGAGGGATTCGTCAACGAAGTGGGAGTAGATATTAGGGAGTCAGGACACGAGGAGAGGGCTAAGGACTCTAACTCGGCAAGGCGTATTTAAACGATAAAGGGGAACCCATGGTGCCACCTTCGTATTGGGAGCCATTAAATTGGAGGTAGGAGTTGCATCGAGGCAAAAGTTGACGAGGTGGTGGTGGTGAGGTTAGAGGGAAGGAGAGTAGGATTCTGTTCGTAAGAAAAGATGACTGTTTTAAGGGCCAGGCGCATGTCACAGGAGGTGTAGAGGGATTGGAGTTTGGACATCTAGGGAGGTGTGATATGAGTAAGGGGGATTAAGAAATGAGTCGATACGGTGTTTGAAGTCTGAGGAGTCTTTGAGGCATAGGGGTTTGAGGAATGTAGCAAGGACTTTGTGGAGCGCTTGCAGGGGAATTTTGTAAAAGCTAACTACGGGACGGATAGGTGCGCTAGGTTTATGGATCTTAGGTTGTCCGTAGAGTTGAGTTTATTTAGGGTGGAGGTTCCGCATCTTTTTGAGGTGGTCTTTCGTGATCTTCTTGTCGTTGTGAAGTTTCTCGAGTACTTTATAAGTTTATACAGTTTGGAGGTGACCGATTGTGTGGGGTTTTTGTTCAAAAGGGTGTAACTACCTGAGGTCAAGTGATAATTAACTTTATTTATGTATTGTTCGTGGGTTAACACCTCAGTGGAGTTTCCCTTATCAGCAGGAAGAAATTTCAATTCAGATAATTCTTAGATTTGAATGATTTGAGAGCTGTACGCTGTTGTGGAGTCAATTTGTCATGGGTCATGTCACGTCGTTTGTAAAATTTGGATAATACAGAGGTAACCTGATAGGTGGCGGGAGCTTCCGTCCCTTCACCAAGCTGTTTGGTGACATTTTAAATAAGGGGAGTTAGTTCAAGGGTGGGATCTGATGTGGGTGTCGGGACGAATTTCAGGCCAAAAGAGAGTACGTCGCTTTCTGCTGTGGAAAGAGTCTGTCCGGAGAGGTTGATGAATGTCTTAGCTGTGGTGTCTTTCTTTGGGGTGGGTGATGAGGAGAGGTAAATGGAATGTGGGAGCTGGTATGTCAAAGGTTGTGAGGGTGTCGTAGAGAGGCAGAGATGTGCACCGTGTTACTTTTAGGCGGCGGCGGTCTGGACGCGGTGATCTGACTACTAGAATCTAGATATCCAAAGCACGGTCGATGAATTACAAGAATGAAAATCGTACTACTATTACTTAGTATAACCAAGTTAGCTTATAACTATATTAGCTGCATTGTTGAACAAGAAATAATACCAAAGTTTTCTACAGTTACAGAATAAAACTGCGTAAATGGTGGTAATTTGGTTGTGTAACTGATGTATATGAATTGATTTATTAATATCACTGATCTACATTGGGCAGTCTCCAAGAAGCCCGACTGGTCCATGGACCACTCTAAGTGGTCCATGGACCACTTCACCAAGGTACAGTGGTCCATGGACCACCATAAGTCAACTCATGAAGATTATATATAATTTTTTATTATCAACTTATCAATTGAAATTGGCATCTTTATGATTGCAATATGTATAATAAGTATTACAAAAGTAAATAACATACAATTTACATAGATAGAGGGAGGAGGTCGGAGCTCTTCCTCATCTCCTCTGCCTTGCCCTTTCTGAGAGAGGCAGAGTCCTCAAATAAACAGTATTTGCATTGATCACACAGCTTGGTTCCCTTGAACTGATCAGCTAGGTGATGATAGTGTGAGGAGTCGACAAGCTTCATTTCTGCAATAAAACGCCACTTGTAGAACGTTGATCTTGGCATCTGAATTTGCTGAATAGCCAGTCTTGCGCTCGTCCCACTCAACAAGAGTTAGTTCCAAGTCAGTTTTTCCAACAACAGATTTTTTCACATGAGCCCAAAGTCATTCCTGAGTGTTAATATGAACGCCAGTTGCCGGGTCCACGAACTGGATCGAGTTGTTGACGGTGTGATGAGTGTAGCCAGCGGTAGTTAGGCTGTTATAGGCTCCCCACTCGTCAGTATAGACAACAGAACCAGGGAGGATCCAGCGTCTAATCAGAGGGAGTAGTGTGGGTGCGCCTCTGCTGTTGTTCGGACAGGGTAGTAGGAAACAGTTACCGTTGCTCCGATCTACAGCTCCAAGCACCCACTG